GAAAGCAGGACTCCGCAACAGTTGGATTCCCATCAAAAGAAATACTTGAAAGGTAGTCCTAAAGAGGAGAGGCAGGATCTGTTCTGATCATCCCAGAGTGCAGAAGATTTCGGCTGAAGAGCAGGAAAAAACTTCCTTACCGTTAGAGCAGCATGAGGTTGGAGCCCATGACTTGTGGGAGGGCGGGGTGAGCGCTCCAACGCTGGAGGCCTTCAAGAGAAAAATTGGACAATCGTCTTTCCGATCTGCTTTCGCTTGGATTATCTACCTTAAGCAGAGGGTTGGACTGGATGGCCTTATAGGCCCCTTCCAACTCCATTATTCTGTGATTCTCTGAAAGGAGATTCCGGCTGGGTAACAGAAAGAACGTCCGGATGATCAGACCTTTTCAGCCGCGGGAAAGGATTCCTTGCAAAGCAGTGGGCTGTTCTTTCTTTAAAGTTTTGAAACAGGATTTGGGGGGCGGGGTGGATGCCTGCGTTCGGGATTCCCTGCACAGGGAGGGCTTGATCAAGGTGATCTTGTGACCCCTTTCAGCTCTGTGATGAAACATGGGAGATCACTGCTGGGTTGGCGTTTGAAGTAGTCCCTGCTCATAAGAGTCTGGCCAGAATCCTCTTCCTGTTCATGTATACTTTTCCTAACTTGCCGCAACCAATTTCAGCTTAACTGGCCGGGCCTCTGGCTCACCTCTCCGAGAAGCAGACGATGGACTAAAATAAATAACATTGTTCTGTCTCAAACGGACAGGCTTTTGTCTCGGTGAGACGCGCCAGGTTGATATGTAGAATGGAAGGCTGGATGGCCAATGAATACATTGCCCGTTGGATTTTCATTAGGACTTCGTATTAAATCTCAAAAAGGCTCCTTTTTATTGCCGGGTTGAAGTCTTAAAACAGGTAACTCTTCTTTATAGGTCTCTTTAAAATAATTTTTTTTAAAAATCCCTTGATTTTATATTTAACCCATATTGATTTTATCCTATAAAATGATTGAATAGCCGTCGCTGAAACTGCTCCGTGGGAGGGCAGCGGAGTGGATCGAGTGCCTCAAATGTTTCCTGGATTATCCCCTGGTTTTGCAATCCGGGGTTTTTATAATTCTAAAACTCTAGGAATGTAAGACCGAACGGCTTTATGCTTCCCGACAGAACCGGAAACGGGAGGCTCCGTCTCTCTCTTTTTCCCCCCAGTCTTAACCACAGTCCTTTTAAAAGCCTGAAATAATGTAAGTGAAATCTGAAGATACCGCTATGTCTGGATGGAAAATCCATAGTTGTTTCCAAGAAGGTACACAATAACATCTGTATACAGCTAAAAACAGCTGTGCTTTGCCCCGCACCAGTGTTTCTCAGGCTTCCGAGAGCCCAAAACAATACCTTGTGTTTGGAAATCAAAATGAGGGGGGCACTTAGTTGTTTCCCCCTCTTGGATGCACACCTTAACATGATTAGGGAGGGTCGGGTGTTTCAGGGAAAGTAAGAACATTGCCACCGGGAAGCTAGAGTCTGTCATGAAACATCGCCCGATGGTGGAAGCTGGGACAACTGAATAATCCACGTCTGTCCTCTTTCGGAATTAATAGCTATGTCAGCAGAAGAGTTTGACCGTTACAGTGGTTGATGGTGGCCGAGAAATTCCTGAGGGGCAGCCGTTAATGGGAGGTGACCCCGATGGAGGATCTTTGACCATCAGTGGCCGTGAAACTTCAGCCAACCTCTGCTCATATTGCACAGAAGGCCAACAGCAAAGCACTTCTAAGCATCTCATATTTTGGGAACCCTACGAGAGAATAATCCAGAATGAAACAAGAGATAGTGCTGGAAGATGAGACTCCCAGATAGGAAGGCCCTTAGCCACGGGGGAAAAAGAGAGAAGCACAAGGGCGCTGCGGCCTGATGAAGCAACTGGATTGAAGTTGAAAGGGTGTCTAGTCCATGAAAACTCCTGCTAAAATAGGCTCGCCCACAGTCCTGTTGGGTTTTGCTAGTTCGCTGTCCCTTCTTGCTTCCGTCGTGAAAGGCAAATGTCCTTCTTCTTCATTGAGGTTGCACGGTGGGGCAACTCCCTCTGGGCTCCACCTGCTACAGGGCAGCTCCTGCTGCTTCTGAACCCTGGGGTTAAATTTGTATGTTGGGGTTAAATTTGTATGTAATCATGTCCCATCACGTCAATTCTGACATGAAGACCCTTCTCTGGGTTTTCCAGTTAGACAAGACTCGGAAGTGGTTGGCCGTTCCCTTCTTCTTCAATGAACACGTTGCCCGTTGGATTTTCTTTAGGATGTCGTATGAAATCTCTCCAGCCAGCACTGGCTTGCAGTCACGGCTCTCAAAGGTTTTAAGCAGGATTTTTCTGATGTTCTTGCTTGCAAATCTGAGACGTTTCGTGGCCGTTTCCCATCTGAGTCCTACCCAGGCCGGACCTTGGTTCGCTCTCCGATGGAGATCTAATGTGCTTAGCGTGCTGTGCTGCCATCAAGCAGCAAAAAGCCTTTATGCTGTAAATAGGAAGACCCGCGCACTGCCTGGTGGATGCAGCAGAACCAGAGGCTGCCAGGAGGGTAGAAATTGGAGAGAGAGAGATTTCATTACAGTACCTTTCATTCGGGTAGGAGCCGTTAAGCGTATGGCCACTCGTCACCCCTAAAGGCGACGTTCCCCCATCGTGAGTGTCGTCCGTTCCGTTCTGAACAGGAGGGTTTCAAGAAAACTTAAGTGCAGACTCACAGCGTCGTTGATCCTTTCGGGTTCATGTGCGTCAGCAGTTTGGCAAGCCTTACCTCCCGTCCCTGTCCTCGTCGTCATCTTTCCAGAAGAAAGATTAACGACGATCAAGCAGCTAAGGCCCAATTTGCACTTGAGCCTTCCCAGCGTAAGGACAAGATAAATAGGGATCGTAAATCCATTGTTCTTGGGTTACCTTGTTCCCTTGACATCTTGGATGGGTTCCTGGTTTTGGCTGGGGAGGGATGTGGGTTGGGGGGGGGAAGCTCAGACAAGTTCGCTGCTGATGAATCCATGCAACTTTTCCCATATGGGGGGGCAGAGAAAATAGAGCTTTCCACAACTCATGGCATTCATCTCTTGCCTTCTTCCTGCCCTCCTCTCCCATCCCATCCCTTGGTTGTTATGAGATTTTAGACTGTAAGCACCTTGGGGCAGGGAGCTAGCTTATTATTTACGCCACATCCTGTGGAACTCCTTGCCTCAGGACGTGGTGACGGCATCTGGCCTAGAGGCCTTGAAAAGGGGATTGGACAGATTCCTGGAAGAAAAGTCCATTGCAGGTGACAAGCCATGAATGGGGAGGGGGTCTAATCCCCAGGCTTCCCTTGGAGGAAGGGACCTCCAAAGGCCAGACGCAGGGGAGCGGGATCAAGAGACAGGTCTCTTGTGGTCTCGTGGGCTACCAGAGGCATCTCGTGGGGCTGCTGTGAGATCCAGGAAGCCGGACTAGATGGGCCCTTGGCCTGATCCAGCAGAGCTCTTCTTACGTTCTTATGTACTAGTTATGTTTACACCTTACCCGTTCTCCAGTGAGCATTAGACAACCCGCATAGCTGTCTTCTTCCTCATTTGACCTTTACAATACCCCTACGAGGTAGGACAGGAAGAGAGAGGTCACTCGACGAGTTTCACAACTAAATGGGAACGGAAACCTGGATTTCCCAGTTGCACTTTCTGAGACCATATCCACGCCACCCTGGCTGGCTTCGTGCGCTCTTTTTGTTATTAAACCATCCACAGAGCTGCAGCCGCAGCTTTGACCAGTTCAGCTCCAGCCGTGTCCAGATGCAAACTGTGAGAGGCAAAAGCAAAGATTAAAAAGCCTTTGTGGCTTTACTGGAGAGATACCCAGGGGTGGGAAGCTTAAACCTTTTTCGCAGTTTAAAATTCTCGATCACTTAAAAATAGCGTTCTGTCAACTCTAGATTAAACGTTTCTCTCTCAATGCAGACTTTATGCTCGCCGCGCTCCTTACTGTTTAATTAAGCCTTAATCTCCCTAGCACTGAACAGACTTTGGGAGAAAGTACAAGACATGGCAGTAAAATGCAGTTATAGCCATTTAAATCCCTTCTTGGTTAGTTTGCAAAAGTTTTGCTCTCAATGTATGTGATATTTGGGGCAAGGGGTTTCTGCCAGCCCCTATATTAGACTGAAAATAAAGGCAGACAGATGTGTCCCTTTTGGTTTATTTAACTTTGCTCACGGGTTATTGATCAGTTAATAGAGAAATAAATAATTTATTGATGATCGTAATTATTATTTTATTTATAAGCTTCTTCCCTCTATATGCTTTGCCTCCCAGAAAAATGGACCGAAGGCAACCTACTATATGGTTAGGAATAGTCCAAGACCATCTGGAGACTCAGGTTTGTTAACCCCTGCTGTAGCTGATGCTCTGTGAAGGTCGAAGATCTTCCAGAGCACAGGAGATAGGAATAATGGGTTACCACTTCCATTTCTTACAAATCTTCGCTTTCCTGTTCTCTTCCCCCCCCTTTTTTTTTTCCTTTTTAACGGTCCATAAGTTTGTATCAAGACCCTGGAAATGTAGAGCCAGCATTCAGTGCAGTTTGCTCAGAGAAGATGCGGAATAATATCCTCAGCGTTTCATGAATCCGTTATGCAAGACAAGGTGTGGGTCTAATTTATACAGGGTGCAGAAACAGAGAATATTCAGAAGTGGTTTCCCATTCCCTTCCTCTAGGGGGTGCTCTGGAACCGTGCAGCTTGCCCAAGGCTACCCAGGCTGGCTCTTCTTTCAGGAGGCGCAGTGAGGGAATTGAACTCCCAACATGCGGCTCTACACCCAGGCACCCTAACCACTGAGCTCTATCCAGCCAACTCTGGTGATAACCTAGAAGCAAAACTGTGCTTTTTTCAACTCAAGTCATCCGTCCTTGGGTTGAAACCAGGTTTGGGTGGGGGTCTTGTCGCTCTGTGCCAAACGGTGCGACAGCCGACGCATAGAATGAACTATTCTCTTCTAACAGGGCCACATTGGCACGACTGCAACCAAAATAATTGACGTCTACCTCCCGCTTCACGCGAACCAGGATAAGTTGCAACCCATGACGGTCGTGACGATCGCCAACGCTAAGGTGCATGACTTGATAGGACTCATCTGCTGGCAGTACACAAGCGAAGGACGAGAACCCAAACTCAAGTAGGCTTCCTTCCTTCC